CTCAATTGAGCTGCACTTTTAGCTGACACGTGACCTTTTTGTATTATAGTTTGTTATAATTTCACATTTGTTAGTAGTTTGAACTACTTTTTCTAAGTAGCTTTAGTTAACCACTAGAATTCTACCTAGGGTAGCTTTGCTTTAGTAGTTAAGCTTGTAGCTATAAATATATGATACATGTAGTGGTGTAAAAAGTACAATATTTGCCTCTGAAATGTAATGAAATTGTGTAAGTGTAGCAAGTAAAGTATAGCACCTGAGTAAATGTACTTCTAGAGATTCAACTGTTGGTTATGTACAGTGCAGAGAAAAGTTCTAGGGGTATTAAACAGGAAAAACACAAAAAGTAGTCAGTGTCAAAATAAGAGTTTTGGAAGGACACATTAGTTTGTTTTCACACTTTACCAACATGTTTCTACAGTTGCCCAGAATGGACAAACCAAACAGTGGCTCTAGAAAGGGCCTTTTGTGTTTTTCACAGCCACTGCAGTTTCTCCTCCACACTTGGAATGGGAAAGTGTGGCAAGGGGGTTGCAATTAGCAGCCACACCACTAGATGCCACTGAATCCTACACATTGGAGTTAAACTTCTTTGGGGCTACAATTGCATAAAACTGTAATTTTTAACATCCCAAAATTCTAAATGGCAGGTTTTAAGATGAAGACTGTGATGTGTGAATAAAAGATGCATGACTGAATAAATATAGATGTAGAAATGTGACCATGAGTGCAGAAATGTATTGCATTTGGATGGACTTGGAAAGACTAGTTCCTTGCACCAAGAGAAACTCGAAACACCTGAGGAAATGGGGTCTCACTAATCTCGCAATTTACAAAGCATTTAGAAAAGACAGCAACCTTCATAAACACCCTGATAGATTGTAGAAGCTCTGTTTATTTGTTGTTATTTGAAATAGTTTTTTTCTTGGTCATTGAAGGCCTCTCTCTCTTTCTCTCTTTCTCCCCAGCGGCCAGCAGCAGTTGGCTTCAAGAACATGTGGCGGATCTGAGTCGAAGGTAAGAACATCTTCATCACTTCATCCTTTTTTCTCTCTGCCCAACTCTTCCTCTCATTCCTCCTCTCTCTGTTTTTCAGCTTTTCTCTCTTACTCTCTCTTTCTGCCTCTCTCTTTCTGCGTTGTCAGCAGATTTCGGTCTCAGGTAGGAACAGGAAGGATCCACTTACACTGACTCAACACACACTCTCTCTCCTGACAGGGGTATCAGTACCCACCCTGCGTGTCACTGCTTACAGTGGGAATCTGGGTGTCCAGGTGTGTGTATATGCAGGCACATATGGCCTTAATGTGAGGTCAAAGGTTACCCTCGGTCAGTGTGGTGGCTCATTGATTGAGCGTCTCAGAAACAGCTGTAAGATCAGTTGTTGCATTGTTTCTCAAAGGAACATACAGGAACGCAGACACATCCGCCCAGCTTCCCCCTGTTAACCCGAGTTCAAGGGTCAAAGGTCACAGGTCACAGGTCATTGTTATCATAATGATCTTTTGGTAAAACTACACTTTATCCATAGCTGACTGATCAGCTGTCAGCTGTGTGTGTGTGTGTATCCAGTTCAGTTCATATTAAAAGCCTTGGTTCGGAACCAATCAAGATGCAAGTTTTTTTAGCTACAGGATGTGTCAGAGAGGTCATTGTATAATTTCTAACTTCTTCGACTCCACAGAGCATTTAAGCTTTTTCTACAGTGCAAACACACTATATGGTTAAATTTGTCTCAGTATACAGTCTGTTGGTTGGACAAAACAAGACATTTCTGACATTTTATACCCATATTTATCTTTTCTGACCTTTCGTAGACCAAACCCTAAATTATTAATTAGTGAAATAATCTGCAGATTACTCAATAATGAGAATAATCTGCTTTACTCCAGCAGCTCCATAATTTCAAACTTGTGTTGAAACAGCAAGCTATATTCAAACCTACAGAATATTCTTTTAATTGTAGTCAAGATCACTATGTATGACAGGCAGAATCAGGGGAAGTGTGCTTAAAAGTGTGCACTAAATACAAAAAGATATGTAGATTATACTTTTCTATTTGAGAAAAGATGGAACCGTAATGTACTTTTCAAGCCACTTTAGGGGTATAAAATAAATGTTGGAGTGTTTCATCATAACTGTATCATAAAGTACAATATTTCACCTTGTTTACCAATGACACTTTCTTGAGGTGTTTTCTGTCAAATCTACCTCCTAATTTCACGTTTTCTTGAATAAACACTCTGGAACAGATTGTTTCCCTGCAGATGTGAGGCTGTAATGTGTTTCTGTTCTAAGCTAAAAGTCTGACCACTGGACACTTGATATATATGGTTAGAAGCTGATACGTTGCACCAAAATTGAATAGCTCTTGAATTCTGTTGATTCCCCAAAGAGTTCTGTGGTTCTTATGCAATTTTTTGCCAGTCGGAGAGAAAAAGCCTCTAAAACTGGACTTCAGTAAAACTATTCAACCCGGGGTAAGAAAATACTGTTTAAACTGTACATACATGTCAGATGTAGTGGTATCGGTGTATACATTGTCAGCTGATATATATCACATTTCCTTTAACTCTGATCAATAATAGCTTTTTTCACAACCTGCTTGTAAAGGAATTCCAGAGTTCTTCGCAGGTGAGAAATGTTAAGAGCTCTGGCATCACAGATGATGCGGCAAGACAAGGGAAAGAAATCAAAATGTTTTGGGGTTGTTATCATGTAGTCTGATTTATAAGTAAAAAATCGTGTATAGATTTTTTTTCTTTTTTATAGATTTTCAAAGTAATTTGGGCTCGAAGTTTACTCCAGTAAATATGTCAGTTTGCAGCTGGACAGCATAGCTTTTAAATATGCAGTGTGTCAAATTATACACTCAGTGGACACTGTCGTAGGCACATCTCTCTTCTACTGAGTACCATTCATTGTGTTAGCATTCTTACTTTATCATCTTCATTATCACATTTTTTCTCAGAGAACTGATGCTCATATAATGTTGGGCTGTTGGATGAATGAGACTGTAGAAACTCTCATGCATGAACATATAATAGATACTCAGTCACACTTGGATCTCATTTATTTCCTATTGTGATGTTTGGTCTTAACAACCATTAAATCAGCTCACAACCTTGACTGAGGTGGTACAAAAAAAAAGTACCAGGCAGCAGGTATTATCCATAATGGAAAAGCAAAAAGAGCGAGTAGGGTCGAGCTGTAGCATGCGGTAGAAAAGCGGCTATAGTAACATATACTGACTCCAAAGCAGACTGATGCTCAGTGTCGACTGTTGTGATAAATATTACATCCTACTGTGTATTCCCACATCTGAAGTGGGTGAAGTATACTCACACACATAGACACACAGAGTCAGCAGCTTAGTCGGTGCAGGTTACTCGGGGCGACAGCCTGGAGAGTTGTGCAGCAGAACTGAGCTGTGATTGGCTGAAAGGGCAGAAATGAACAGGACGTCCCAGCCTAGTTTCCAGTCTTTGAGTGTGTTTGTGTGTGTG